TGCTGAAGTATGTATCAGTGGCAGAAAGTAGCTCTCCCATTGAGCCAGTGGTGTTTGTGTTTGGCAAGTTGTATCTAATGCAATTCTTTGATGAAAAAAAATGTACCACTTTATGATATGCAACTTTAAGCTAATTTTGTTTTAATTATTTCTAAAGTTCTAAATTAAAATCCAAGCAAATGATTTACACACTAACAATTGTTCCCAATGCTCCTCATCACTAATACACTATATCCTACTCAGATGACATTCATATCTCATGGAAATCAGAAAGAATTTCGGCACTGATTTTTTGAAGAAAGATTAATGTCACTGAAATCAGCCTCTTCTCCAAAGGAAAGCCATGTTCCAAATCAGACTCATTCAAAATAAATTTTGTATGTTCAGGATTTTTTCTTTTTTTTTTTTTTTTAAAAAAGAGCTTAGCACCTTTATTTGAAAAGCCAAACCTTAAAAAACCAAGCTTCTAAGAAATTAATATTGCAGAGCATTCTAATTTGCATTCCATAGCATCTGTGCCAACATCTTTATCTAGCAATTAAGTTTACAGCATTTACCTTGCCTATGGGAGAAGGAGCAATACAATATGAACTGAAACTCTGAATAAAAGAAACCAACAGAAACTTACCTGAGACTTCACTAATAACAGATTATCGCTATGGGTTTGCATACCACAGATCCCCAGTCTCACAAATATTTTGTCTCTCACAGCATTTAGAGTTTATGTGTGAGGATGAACAAATAGGGTAATTCCTGCCTATTTAATTTGCTCTGTACTAAATGTGTCCCAATTCTAACTGGTTTTACAGAAGATAACAGCCTTCCAATGCTGGATAGCTAGTTTACTTCCTCATTTAGTTGCTGTGGTCAGCTGAAGAAGCAATTGAAAATTTTGTCATGAAACACTTGAAATCAAATCGAATAAGGGGCAGACAACCAGAACTCTTACTGCTTTTGTACTGCATGTGACATTCACCTTAACATGTCACAAAACAAGATCTTCTTTTGGCAAAAGCATCATTCAATTAATATCTTCAGACCTTTTCTAGGTAGGTATCAGTTGCCTTTGATCAGGTTCCAAAAAACATTCAGTACAAAGAAACCTGGTATTTCTGTGACCCACCTATTAGCTGATATCAGAACTGATGCCTCAAGAATACCTTTTTTTTTTTTTTTTTAAAGTAATTCATTAAAAATTCCCGTTTATAACAATATTAGGGACTACTGATAGTGATATAAACAGCTGTTCTGAAAAAAACAATGAGCAGCAATGAACGGTCATTTTTCACACCTTTTGACAGGAAGCTCTCTAAACTCAAAATAGTCACTAATTTCTCAGCTACTGCTGCTTCTTAACTTTTTTTTTTTAAAAAGTGATTATTAATTTAATTTGAAACAGAAGGTGTGGGGAATGAACTCACATAACCAAATTCAGAACTTGACCTGTTGTTATTGCTGTGTATGAATTGAAGAGTGAGGTTTTACCTACCAAAACAAATATAACCATAACCAAGAACATAGAACTAATAGGACTAAAGGCTAGACCTGGTATGAAGCTTCTGTAGTAAACAGTCAAGTTCCTGAACATTAAGACAACTATTTTCTCCTCCACTTATCATAAAGAAAAGGTTAGCAGCTGAAATTCTACGTAAATATAAACAAGTCCAGTCATGTCACAGTGCCAGACACAGATTGCTCTGATCAAATCAGGCTTCAGGAAGAACTTAACACTGACTTGCCTAAAGTCTGGATCACAATGAAACAAAGGCAACCACTAGACACCCTGTCCTCTGCTGAGAAGAGCAGCTCTGGACATGCAGAGAAGTGGGAATGAAAGCACCTACAGGATTTTGGAGTCAACTAGGCAGGCACCTGACAACCAAGACACTTCTGGAATTGGATAGCTGCAGAGTCACAGGGTTTGCTTTTGGATTTTGTTTTGTTGGGTTTTTTTAAATTAGTTTTGTATTTATACAATTAGCACCCTTCAAAACCCAGCTTTAACTAAAGCCTCTTACTTCACCTTATATTTTTCCTGTTTGGTTCTTTCTCTGAATTTATAAAACCACCTTTAAATAGTCCTATTATTTGGTAGCTTTCATTAAAATGACTCATATGTTTATATGAACAAAACAGAAAAAATGACAAATGGAATCCTTTAAGTGTTTTCCAGAACTACAATGTGTGAGAGCCTTTTATATCCTGCAAAACAAAGTTGAAGAGCAGCTGCTTTTCACTAATGAAGGGTAATTTGTGCAATTAACTCTCTTCTTGGTTGTTAAGTTTAGTATTATTCAACAAGGTAATGCATTACTCTTCAACAAGCATACACAAATTCCATTCAAATACTTCTGAGCTTTTACCTGAAAACGAAGCGACAACCACCACTTGGACAAACATGCCCAAACAGAGTATTCATTATCATAAGCAGTCGCACTAACTTCAAGCTGATGCCTCGTAACAGCGAACACGATCAATCATTGGCAAGCTCAGGTCCATGAACCTGAAGCTATTGAGTGACAACGGCATTTGCACAAGTGATTACCAACTCTAGGGAGTCACTGCTTCACACATTAAATCCCAGTTAGTAAAGGATCAGCACCAAAACGTGACTCCTCTGGAACTGCTAGAGCAACAGAAAACACTACTATAGGTAAAACAAAACCTGAAGTTCATAAAGAAGTCAATAAAAAAACCAACCAACCAACCAAACAAATAAAAAAACAAACCACATTAAAAAAGTGCCTTTATAAAAAGAAAAAAGAAAAAAATTTGACAGGTATTTTAGCCATTCAAAGAGATCTCTTATACACTTGTAACTGAAAACACGGTTTTGACAACATACACTGTTTACAGAGCCTCTGATACACCTGTTTTGGTTATAAACTGTAAATTTTACAAAAGCAAATGAGGTTTATGCAAATTAGTGCAAAATAGGAATTCTGGTATTTTATTTTATGCCCCATTATAGCAGGGGCAACATTACCAGGGCAAAGGATAAATTGGAGTTTTCTATGTACAAAATTCAAACAATGATTTCCCAAGGCCGACACCCCAAAGGTTCTTACTACTGCTGGTAAGGGAAAAAGACAGAGGCCATTACAAAGAAGGGAAACACAATTTCAGTTAATTTTCTAGTCTTTAACATTATCAGCAACTGCATCATCTTTCAGATCATAAGTGAAGAGGCACATTTGGAACCCTGAGGTAAGAAGAAACTTAATTCTAATTCCCAAAGATTAATTATCATGGGTAACATGTTACTATGCTGACAAAACCACTGACACCCTCACATAGGTAAAAATATCTGAGTTACCAATTTCTGCATATGAAATTTTTTCTTGAAAGTGTGGACTCAGCAAATCTTAAAAACAAGACAGTCGTTGAATTATATATCAACTAAAAATACTAACATATCATTTTTTGGTATGATTTCTATAGGTAAAGATTTCACTTCATTTTTTAACACGTATTTTGAGAACAAATGGAAGATATTAAAGAAAAATGTAAAAAAATACAAATACAGATGCATGCTGTATTTTCACTTACATCAGATCTCAATACACACTTCAAACAAGAAATCTGCAATGTAAGCTCTGTTCTGTAATATACCTGATAAATCTTCATTGGAGGTTTTGAGCAAGAGCTGGAAATCACTGAAAAATCCCTATCAGATAATAGCGCTTGAAGCTTAATGTCTATCTCCTTTAGGTGATGAAGTTCCATCAGGTCAGGTATGTACCCTTCTCCTGGTGCTTGACAGCCAGATACATCCTCCTGTTGAAGATACAGAAAATTTTTAATCATCATTCCAAAGACTTTAAAGGCATTGGCACATCCAGTGTATTTATTTTTCAAATAAACCATCCTAAGAATAAAACATAAGTTCTCATCCATTTTAGTATATAGCTGAAACCTGCCAAATATTCATGTACCTAGCATTCAAAAGTAGATATACACAGAACAATTAAAGGCATACATTTTTTCATTTTTAGCTATAACCAAGCAGCAAATTGGAATGGACTTAGAAATCAAATATATTTAATTTTTAGAAAGCATATGCATCTACATGCACTGTTCAAATGCAAAAGCAAAAAAGGCTCAAATGTAATAGCAAAACAGACTTCTGCTGTTTAGGTAAACCCAGTCTTATTTCCTTATTTCTACAAAAGTCTGAAGCTTCTGTCCTCACTAACTAGCCACTCAGAAGCCCTGAAATAAAATTGCTTAAAAACAAATGTTTTGTCTCCATGCCAGCTGGCCACGAAGCAACCAGACAGCTCCCAGTTTCCCCATCCATTCTTCTGAAGGTTATGCGACTCCCTTGATCAAGTTCTTGTACAGTCAAGAAAGGCATTTGGATAGTGAACCCCTTTTACTTAAGGATGCACCTCACTTTATAGCTTCTTAGCCAAGTTAGTAAACCCTCTAAAACAGTCTCACATCATGCCATGCCTATCATAGCTCCCTTCCATGCATGCAAACTCTTCCGTTGTTGCAGTTTCTGTCTTTGTTCAACATGGCAGTCCCAGCTCCCTTTTGAAGGAATAATTGCTTGTCATGGTCTAACTTGCACATAGATCTTGCTGTCCACTGCTGCACAGCAAGCATCACTCGCTGATACCCACATGAAAATCAATTTAGGAGTGCTGTGCTCCTTTGCAAAATAGTGCACAGGATAGAGATGAAGAGGAAAGCATCTGGCAGATGTGGTTCCACCAGTCCTAAGACAGAAAACACAAAGAACATGCTGCTATAAGCTCACATTTTCCAATGCTAACATCGAAGTGGAGAAGCACAGCCCTCAAACTGCACTAGACTGTCTTCAACGTCATCCTGAATCATTTTTGTTACACCTTGCATCTCAGCACTCCTTGTCTACACATATCCTGGGGACACCATATTACGGCTTAAATCCAGGGAACCGTACAGAGAGTTGCCAAGTATAGCCAACCTGAGACAGTAACTACTTTTTGCTGCTAAAAAAGACAAATCCAAGTCAAAACCAGGCTTGGAATGAAACTGCAGAGGTTGATGCCATGGCAGAAACAACCTGGAGCCAAATCTCCAGGGTATGAGATCCAGTGCAAAACTTGCAACATATCATCAAAGAAGACAAAAAAGCCATCCACAGGAAAGCAAAGAAATTGCTCTGAGGTGAGTAGCTGCCACCTTTCTAGAACACCAGTATGTTATCACAAGAAACACTGGGAGACAGAGAACACACAGTTCTTTTACTGTTCCTGATTTACATGGCTTTTTCCTCTTGATAGCAGTTAACAGCTGACTAACAAATATGAATATGTGCTCCTAGTACAGGCAGTTGCACGTTATGAATAAGCTGGGCCCTCTTAACCCAAACGAATTAGCTCATGTTCACAAACAGATGCAATTCTCCACAGCAACCTGGCAACTTGCCAACTTTGTGGAAGCATCTGTTCAGGTGAGACCGTGACCATCCTAAGTAACCAGTGCAGTACGACAGTAGCGCCATGTTAACCACTCCTAATCTGACATTGAAGGGCATTGTGCAAACACACAGAAAAGAATTTACAGGAGTCAGGGAAGCTGCACCTGAGCTCATTAGCTACAGCTCACTGTCTGCATCGCATGCCATCATATCCCAGTGCTCCAAGTAACCAAATTACTCCAGTAGACACTTTACTCCAGGGTTAAATGGACTCACACATTCTCTTCTGTATTCGTGAGATAGGTTTGCTTGGAAAATAAGCTTCTGTCCTGCCAATGTTTCGTGTGTGTTAACTTAGAACAATACTTTTATAACAGCACAGTCAGTGCTTATTACTGTGGAACATCTGAAACACATTATACCCCTGCAGCTTTGAAAATTAGATTAGCATGAATATGTACTTCTAAAGTATTTTAAATACTCATAAAACACACTTTTTTAAAAAAGTGAGAAATATTGCTTGGATATTTGACATATTTAGTAGTCACAGTCAAATTAAGTTGATTTAATCTGATCCACATTACACTATACAGAGGAATTCATACAGCATAGCCAGCTCTGCCTTGATTGATAACCTCCAAAACACTACTTTAGCCAAAGCGGTTGCACCAGTTTTTCAGAAGTCAGTATGAAATAAGATGAAAGTAGCCATCAGCTGGACAGTTACCTGGAACCGCTTGAAGCAGTCTAGATTACTCATTACCTGATAGTTTCCTCATGATCTTTGTTATAGAGCAGCCACAGGAAATGCCTCACCCATAATAAAATTCAAATGTGAGACACAACAAATTCATCTCCAGACTAAACAGGTTCAAGTAACTAAACCTTCTTTTATTGTCCTATAGTGGTAGATTTAGGAGCTATTTTCTTTGAAGAAATGATCTAGTACAGACTAGACTAACTCAGAAATTACATTCCCATTCTTGTCCATCGTTCAAGAACATACAGCAACAAACATCCTGTGATCTATTTAATATCTGATATAAATAGTAAACTCTTTATGAATTTCATGTCCTCACATTGAAAGATGTCCTTGACCAGGAAAGAACAGCCACAATGCTCTTCCTATTAGACTGGATGAAGTACTGTTACAGCTGAACATTTTGTCACCCTTATGCAGGATTATAATGCAAATCCTACTGCAAGCAGATCTAATAGAATACCTTGAATCTGTTCCCAAATGCACAGACGAAAGATTAACTAAATAATGATCCAGTCAACTTTAACTTTGTTGTTCTAATATGCAACAAATTCAAAAGTACAATAAAAATCAACTCTCCTAACCAGTAGGTCAACAATACGCCAAACAGCCTTCCAGTGTTACTGGTTTTAGTGCTAAACTATGTCAGGTAAGCCAAACATACCTGTGCAACATCATTAATTGATGAGTATTTTACACAGATAAGTAAGTCAATCTCCAACCTCAGTGTTCATGTCCAAAAAAATTAAATAAGTTTTCTATGTAAAGTGAGGGAACAAATGTCAGGCCAACAGGAAGAGGAGTGCAATTTCACAGAGGTTTTTCATCTCATGAGCACAAGCAATTAGTGTGGCTGATAGTTTGAAACCTTTACATACCAATGATCAGCAAAGGTTATATTTCTGTACTTTTACTTTATTTTACTATACGTGAAGAAACAGTTACTGTTAAAATACTGCACATTTATATAATCTTAATCATTCAATCACCAGGTTTTCCTGACTGATATGGACTCCTTCACTTCTATTCGACCCACAAAGCTCTGAAAATCATAGAATCATAGAATAGTTAGGGTTGGAAAGGACCTTAAGATCATCTAGTTCCAACCCTCTGCCATGAGCAGGGACACCACACACTAAACTATGTCACCCAAGGC